ATTTTACCTTAGTAAATAACTTCAGTTGCGTGACCAGAAGAAATTAGTATAAATTCTTTAACCCTAGTAAAATTTTAAAAAATCCTTTATATCTAGCTATGGATAACTATGAAAAGTAAAAGTCTATTTACTTGTAAATCATATATTTATCATTACTTTATACTATCAACAATTTGTTACCTTATATGTTATATCATCTACAGTTTTTATGATAACATTGGTTTTTAAACATTGTTGTAACGCATATTAAAGAACTAGTATGTTTGATGCTTTAGAGAAAAAAGCATACACATTTACTTTGCTTCATTTATTATCTGTTTTTAGATTTCTATGTTTAGGATGGATGAAATCCAACCACCTTAGTAACTATCGATAGATTCTATTCAAATTTAAACTTATGACAATTAGGTTGGAAAAATGTAGTTATTAATAAAATTGTTTATATAGTTGTAATAACCAAATTAGTAAAAAATTAGATTTTTGGCGTTTTGTAACTATGTAGCGGGCTTTTCAAAAACAAATTGTTATTTACAATCTATTCAATGTTCAATTTATTTCGAATTACGAAGTTGAATTCTAGTAATGATGCATTCAAACTCAATGAAGTGAAAAGTTTAACTTTGACGACTTATTCATGTTAATGTCTTTTGAAGCCTTTACAGTATATTTGAGAAGATATGAAGTTATTGTAGTCTTCTTTTGAAAAAAAAAACGATAGTTGGTTTACACCCAGTAAAATTTATATCAACAATACATCTTAAATTCACTGCGTATCTATGTCAAAAGCATATAGTGAACATTCCAAAATTAAGCTAAAAAATCAACTTAGTTAATTAATTACGGACTTACGCCTGTTACGGCTTATGCTCCATTGATAGTAACAGGCGTAAGTAAGTATCTAAGTTAAAATCTGTTAAAGCTCTTAAATTTTAAAAAGTACTCGCCAGAGCAAAAATATGTTTTGGCATAAAAAGCAGTTTACGAAACCAACGTACAAAATATAGCTTTGCCATGCTCTTTCAAATCGATGGAAACGAAAGATTTTTCATCTTTAACTTCGCATAGAGGGCTCTTCAGACAGGAGTATCTCATTGTTCGTTGAACGGATATGCTATCTACTACAATGATTCGTGACCCTTTTCTGTTTGACTGGTATCACAAAATTATTTCGTTATAGACACAATCAATGTCTTAAGATCAGTGACAAGTACTACGAATTATGTTGCATTTTTTGCTACAGTGTATTATATCATCAAAGTAAATCCTTTATTATCTGATTAGCACCGTAGCGTAGAAAACATTGCTTTGTTCAACCATCAAATTTCTATGTATTCCTCTTTTAAATGTCTTATCTGTTCTCTGATTCTTATAAATAATTACTTTGTTCATTACACCTACTATTTCGTTTTTCTAATCATTGAGTCAGTCCTTCGACATAGTTTTATAATCACTAATGAAATTATAAAACTACTGCGTGATATGTATTATTTTATTATTATCAATAACATATATATATCAGGAAAGAGCCATAATGAAAAACTAATTGGAAAGAACTGTTTCTTTGTTTCGTTCATTTCCTTTTACCAAATTCTGATCAAGAATTCAATTTTGTGCAATAACTGGATATTGACTAAGAATATCACCATCTACACAAAAAACTAGATATGCATAAAATATGAAGGAAAATATATCTTCAATAAGAAAAAAATATTTCTCAAACTAAGATATAAAGATAGTTATATTTTAAAAAGCCTATTACATCAATAAAGATATAACAAACTTGAACCAAAACGATTCTGTAGTAAAATATCTCTTAACATTATAACCTTTAATATGTCTAATGAGAAAAGATAAACCTACAAGAAGTTATAAACGTGTACAACGTACGTTTTAGAAGAAATATTTATTTCAAAAAGGGATTTTTATGGATATTATAGTAATTTTTCCTGGTAAGCGTTTTTATTCCAAGTAAGGACCGGAGTCAGACAAGGCTGTTTACTCTCTCCCTTCCTCTTTCTTCTGGTGGTCGACTGGATTATGAAGACCTCGACATCTGAAGGAAAACACGGAATTCAATGGACAGCTCGAAATCAATTAAACGATTTGGACTTCGCAGATGACCTAGCCCTCCTATCACGTACACACGAACAGATGCAGATGAAGACAGCCAGTGTAGCAGCAGTCTCTGGATCAGTAGGCCTCAGCATACACAAAGGGAAAACCAAAGTCCTCAAATTCAAAGCGGAAAACAACAATCCAATCACTCTTGATGGCGAAACTCTGGAAAATGTAGAGTCCTTCACATACCTAGGAAGCATCATCGATGAACAAGGAAGTTCTGATGCAGACGTAAAGGCAAGGATTAGCAAAGCAAGGACAGCATTCCTACAGTTAAAGAACATATGGAACTCAAAACAACTTTCAACCAATATCAAAGTGAGAATCTTCAATACCAACGTCAAGGCAGTTCTACTATATGGAGCTGAAACTTGGAGAACTACAACAACCACAATCAAGAAAGTACAAGTATTTATAAATAGCTGTCTACGCAAGATACTCAACGTCCATTGGCCGGATACCATCAGCAACAGCCTTTTGTGGGAGAGAACAAACCAACTTCCAGCTGAAGAAGAAATTAGGAAAAGACGATGGAAATGGATAGGACATACATTACGCAAATCGCCAAACTGCATCACGAGGCAAGCCCTAACTTGGAATCCTGAAGGGAAGCGAGAAAGAGGAAGGCCTAAGAACACATTGCGTCGGATAATAGAAGCAGATATGAAAACGATGAATTACAACTGGACGGAGCTAGAAAGGATTGCCCAGGACAGGGTTGGATGGAGAATGCTGGTGAGCGGCCTATGCTCCTTCACGAGGAGTAACAGGCGTAAGTAAGTATAGTAATTTCAATAGTAGAAATCATGATTCAGTTGAAGCTAGATCACCATGAAAAACAGTGAATGATTGGTGAGGAAACAAAAGAACAATGAAGTCTAAAACGATTGACTGATATTTTGCAAATGAAATATTTACCGTATGATTCTCAGATTTCACTAAGATAGCCTGTAATTTTGTATCCCAATACACTCGTTTGTTCCCACTTGTTTTATCATTCACCATAGTGAGATTTTCATTCATAGCTCATAAAGTGATAACCTTTCATTATTACAATACTTTGTTAATACTTAGTTGTTAAATATTATTAACAATGTAGTAAAGTTTTATCATATTCATTAGGAAAAAAGTAGGTAGTATTTGTATACAAAATGATTAACTACTTAAATATCGTGTTCATTTAAACGGTTAAAGTTTTCTTCATTTAATGACTTTTATGAGAAATAACAAGGTTTGTATCAATAGTTAATCATAATCATAATCATAATAATAATAACAGTAATGAGTAAATAGTCGTTTTCTTATATTCACTATTGCTGAATAAGTTTTTACATTACGTCTTAATAAACTTCTCATTTTTCCTGATTATTCCAGATCATGAAAACTCTGTTTACTTTAAATTATTTATTTTTATTCAATAAAACAAAACAACTATTTATTCGAAAATACGTGAATATTTCCCTTAAATATTCACAATCTTGTATACAATTATTTCGTTTTATGTAAACATTTAATAAAGATGTGATATGCTAAGAAATGAGAGTAAATATTAATCTAAATAATGATTAACTCAGACTGAATACATGCAATTGAAATAGTTTTGGGTGGAACTTTGTTCTCTGAACTGGATAGTTTTGTCGTAGAGCTTTCATCGTTATATTCTGAACGACATCATCAGTACAAACTTCAGGTAGAAGTGAAGTGTTCGAGAAATTTTTATGAAATAAAATGAAAGCTTCACAATCAAACCATCCAGATCAGAGAACAAAACTGTACTAAAATCATCTACCTGAGCTATAAATCTTCTCCACTATCTCAAAATTGAAATAGTAAAATGAATTGGAAGAATAGTTAAGTATATTTTATATTGATTCAAGATTTATCAACAACTTCCAAATTTTTATTCTAGTGATTATTACCTGTATAAAACAATTCAATTAATCTAAGAAAATGTCTTGTTATTAGAATTCAAGTATGTTATGAAAAAGTTGACATCAAGCATGCTAAGATGCCTTATACTGTTAAACCTATTTCCATACAAACTGAGTACTGATATGACAAATTTGTTTATGGTATTTAAATCTTTCTAAAGTGTGTGTGAAACGTTTTTCTACAAATACTGTTTAACATTGAACTTATTATTAATGCATCATAATAGTTCAATAGTGATTCTTAAACTGTTCGACTGATGCGATTTTGACTTATACAAGAAAACAAAAACTCCATTGTTAGAATATCCAGATGGTTAATACGCTTTATATTCATACATTTATGCTGATATTATGATAATCAAATAAAGTTTTCTTACATTTATAAGCGTAGTTAGTTTGTCAGTGAATTTACTTACAGTGTTCACCTTTAAGTTCTCAAATTCTGGATTGATTGTTAATTGCCTCAATTTTTCTATAGATGAACTAATTAAACACAATATTCGGATTTCTTGATTATATACCTACTCCATGTTAGATCGTAAGGCTGTGACCAATCGAATTCAATCGTGTTAGTTGTGAGGCAGTTGCCGATCGAAGATAATAGAAGAGGGACGCGTGACATTATGGATTGATTGAAGGTAGAAATTAACACTGTTGAGTCCTGATTCAGTGATCTGAAGATTAAGCGTTCTTGCGCGAGACCGACCGTACTGGGTTAGGTTCTCAAGAGTAGGATTGTGAATGCACACTGTTGCGTAGTCCAATACTTGGACGAAACGGCCATCAGTGCTTACAGGTCTTCAATAATGGTTTAACATTGATCAATTCACAAAAACTAAACAGCATTTTTAAATGACCAAATGGAGATCATATATTTAATAAACTTTTTGTTATTTGAGTGACAGCTTAAGTTATCAATAATTATCTATGGTATAACTTTCTCTTTTTTAGCCAATACCCCATTCAGTTAAATTCACTTTGAAATGTTTGGCAAAATACAAATTCTAATTTTTTTGCTTTCAACAATTATGCTTTATAGCATGCAAACAGGTGAGTAAGAACGAAAACTGAACTATAATTTTAATGATATGAAATTATATGAGTATTTGTTTGTTTTAAATAATTCAATGATACTGTTTACGTTTGAATAACCCTTATAGAAATTCTGACTAGTGATATATTGCAGGTAGTGATGATTACTTATATCATATATTACAACTTTTACTATACACTTTCCTGTATTTATTTTAAACTGAATGAGAAAGTAAAGGTTAACCGGAATGAAACTTTAATGGGATTTTCGGACACTCAGTTCAAATAGAATGGATCAATACGAACACAAGGTTACGGAAATATTAGATAATTTTTCTAATTAAAATAAAAACTGACAAGAAAAGAATCTATATGCTTTATTTTAAAACATATGGTTCACGCTTTGAATCAAAGTATTATTGTATATATTAGAATAAACATTACAGTATGCATAACCGCACTCAACATATTATTTATGGAACATGGGACAAAGTGAATCGAATAGCCAATCGGTTGCTAAATGATAAGAGTTTATGACCATGAAAAATATTTTATTTGATGCTGTTTCATTAACCTAATGTCCTGTCTGATAAAGACCGACGTTTCTGTTAGTTTATAGAAGCTGTATGCATGTACATAAATAATATGCTTTCATTGAGAAATAACGTATACAACACATATCACTAACTTCATAAGATTACATGAAGTTGAAGTTAAACGTTTGCAGTGAGTAGATAAAGAATGTTATTGACGAACTCAGATAATGAAATTATTTCACAAATAGAAATGCCATTTTAAATATAATGGAATACTTTTGTTTATATGAGTTTACAGTGTCATATATATCATGTAATCGGTAGTATAAACCTTATAACCATTCATATTGTTATAACGCTCGGTTTTACTTCGTCTAATGCTATAACGGTTGGGTTTCCACGTTTACACGTATGGGACGTTAATTTACCTTAAACGAATATCTAAACTAGATTCCCTCCCACTGTCTATTCTACACGACTTCAACACAATTCAGGTCAAGAACACGTGATTAGCCTGACTACAACGTAAAAATAGTTCCACACCAAAACCCGACACAATCCAACCACAATGAACAATCAATAATAAGTGAGTAGTATTACTAATAAGGATAGGGGAGTATATAACTCATCTGACACCTGTCAGACTATCTACATGTCTGACTAAGCAGACAACCAATTATTATCATTCTCGCCCACACATCACATATTTTCAATTAAACAATAAAACAGTAATAGATTGTATATTTATCCAACATTATATAGTATACCTTGTGAATAATACCAGCATTATTTTCATGTCATATTTTGTGGTACAATTTTACTTGTTGCTTAGGTCCGGCTTATATGCATTTGAGTCAAAAGAGTTATACTCAAGTGGTATTGGTTAAAAATCATACGCTTACAACGTCAATCATTTACAGCATATGTTTAGTTACTTACAACTACTAACTGCCTTAAATAGGCTTCTCTTCCTATCATGATAATTTTCTGTCCTGTAAAGTGTTAAGTATTTTTAAGTACGGCTAAAAAGCAAACCCATATTGTTCAGAACTATTCATAAAGTTACTTCGTAATTATTTTCTTCATAGTTATAACAAACTCTATGATTTCTCATCTTGTATTCGACATACTTGTTCCAGTAACAGAGTGTCATTTTGATTCATTGATTAGGTATGAGATATTTAACTGACATAATTTCCTTGGTATCTGATGTTCATTTTAACTAAAGACTGGGCTCATTTTGAAGAGCTGTGAATTTGATAGAATTCACGTGACACTATAAGGTTCTTCTCTAACACCCAAGGCTATGAACGTGATTGAACGGGGATCGATCAAGTCTCCTGAAAACTATAATACCTTCAATCCACTCAGTTAGACTGTCACTTCAGTGAATGTGCGATTCTTCATAATCATCAACCAACACCACAGGTGATAACTATTTCTTTCCTGACATAATGGAGTATTATAAATTATGTCTTTTCATTAGAATTTTAATGATATTTCTTCTAAGTAACAACTAGTGACTATATATTTGTTACTTAACTAGGTAACAGTTTTTGTCATTGAGTGATATGAAATTTAGTAGACTTTATAAATCATTTTTCATGATTTCCTTGACGGTGTTTTAAGTATAGACAGGTGTAACATTATAAAACTTCACGCTTATGGTATTTATTTATTAGATTTAACAAGATCCAATAAAGATTTATTATTGATATATAATCAATGAAAATGTTTACCGTTACATTTTATTTTATTATTGCTTTAGCTAATAAAATTAATGGAGAACCAATGCGTCGATGGTATCCTTTAGGAGTTGAAGCCCCTAGAAAACCTTCATTCAGTCAAGGTGATAGTGTTGCTGAATTAGAAATTCCTTATAATGGTGATCAATATGATTCAGAGGTTATGAAACGAGCTGTTCGGTTAATGAGACTTGGTTAATGAAAAGAAAAAAGAAAAAAAAGTTGACAGAATAATAATTCTAACTAATATAAATGTTCATTAAATAAGAATTTATAATACATTTATTCATTACTTTTTTTATTATTAAGTAAATTGTTTTATCATAACAATGAATTCTACATTATATGCTGATAGAAACATATATTTCATAGTGCAATGATTTCAGAGTTTTTCTTTAAAGAATATTATGGATCAGTCAGGGGATTTTTTTCGTTCAATAAATACATAAAAACTAATTCAACAATGAATCACTGTACAGTATTAAGTATTCAAAGTTCAAGAAGTTTCTCAGTTAGATTATGATTTCATCATTTAATAGTTATTAAATATATAAAGCATATAACAAGATCGATTAAACTATACTAAACTGAAAGCTAGAAACGTTTTTGGCGAGACTCTAATTTATGGACGAGCCAATCAGAAGCGTTTTACAGATTTCATGGTTACGGCACCAACTTCAGTGCTTAATGCTAACTTACGATCGGTTCACAGGTAATTTTGTACAAAATGTGATAATTGAGCGGCTATAAGGAATGAAACGGCGAGACTATAATTTATGGTATAAGATAATAGATCTCGGATTTTAACGTGAAAGCCTTTCACCCATTTGGCTAAATAAATTTCTGGCATTATAGCTGATGACAGTTTGCGATGAAAACCCCATATATAATTCCTAACTAAGGTAAATTATGACAATTATTGCGAGCTGGATAATAAAAGCACCAGTAACACTGGCTGCAGCCAGATACAACAATCTATACGGATGTTGGGGAGCGCACAAACTCCTACATAAGCTTGGTTATGTGCATCGTGTCGTTATCCACAAGTAGCATTTTGTGTACTCAACAACCGGAGTGCACATAAACAGTATTGAAGCTATGTGTTCGAGGCTGAAATTGTTTTTAAGACTTGATCATGACTCCAGAGGCCGACTATTCTGTAACCGTATGGATGATTTCCTCTACTGCATGCATTACGATTTTAGAACCTGTGAACCTCTTTCTAACTTTGACAAGTTTTTGAACCACGTATAATAAGTGTATCCACTTTATTTCCTTGGTTTTGTATAATATATTTTTCCTCTATACTGACTGTGTGCTGATTGGTTAATATTTCTTCAAGGTCGCTTAGGATTCTTTTAAAGGTCGTCCATGAATCAGAGTCTCGCCACTTTTTTTAAAAAAAGCTCTTTGATTTAAACGAATGGAACTAAAATAATCGTCAAAAAATTTTGATCAAACGAAGATGGAAATAATAATTAACAATAGACTAGATGTTGGTTACTCTCGTCATATGAATAAAAATAATATGCTTTGATAATCTGATTGTAAACTTATCCCCTGTTTTAGGGGAATTTGAAACACTTTTTCCATTAGTCACTCTTAAGGGATTTTTATTATGTACCATATACTACTTTTCCATCAGTGATTTGTTCAATAAACCAAGCTATCAACAACTAAAATATGCCTCGTCGCATGGCTTCAGCTTAAGAAATCTGTAACTTCTGATTTTAAGTATAGGTAATGATAATCATTTCCCTCCGATTGATATTTAAAGTAACATAGCTCTAAAGATGCATTCATTCATCATTATATCTTTCCAAATGTTAAGTCGTGTGTATATAAAATATGTTTCTTTATTCATTTCATTTGTTTTTCTCGAACTATGCTTTGCATATTTAGTAATTCGAAGATATTACTTTTTATTAAGTCAATATCTTACTGTTGTGAAGCATTAAGAATCCGAATTATATATGTTTGTGTCAGGTTCTAAGTTGCTTATGAATAGTTGACTAAATTTATGTGGAGTAGAACTACTAAGGCACTCAGATCATCATTGACTAGATGTATCGAAAAACGTAGATAGAAACGAATGAAGACTAGTTTTTCCGCTCTTCTGAAACCTTTATATCAGTGTACATATATGTTTTATTTGACATACTTTAAATTTTGTGAAAAACATCTACTGACCACTTTCTCAGATAGTGAAAATCGTTGCCAATTTAGAGGTAGGAATTTGTTTTTCGTAAGCACAATCTTTATCAACCACAGCAACAAAGCAACGCCTTATTTAATATATAAACTGATGTGAATTAGGTAAACTACTACAGCTTGTAACAGAAAATAAATATCATAAACAATGAATTACAAAACGTCGAGTGAGTGATCACTTAAACTTAAATGTTAACTACAACAGCGGCTTGTATGAAAATAACATAATATGACATTAGGAACTTCTAACGAAATTTCACAAACACATCTTCGTATTTCTTTTCAATCCTTTTCAATCAGTATACATTCTGTCAACTCTAAGATTATTTTATATAGCTTTTGACCGTTGTTACACTTTCTGTTCCGATCCGCAAAAAAAGAATTTCAGGCTTACTAACTGTTTTCAATAAATTCACATCACAGTTCTTTATACAAATGCATCATATTTTTGGAAACTGACAATCTGTATCTCACCAAACTTTTGATAAATATATCATCAAATAATATTTTTATAGGCTCCTCATAATTGTGCTTTGAACTGACGGTTTTAAACTTTAACAAAATAAAACTGTGTCTTCATAATTTCCAATCATAGTAGTTGTTTGAATTCAATATAAGATATTGTCATTAGTTACCAATACTTGCAAGTAAACACTATTATGTTCAGCGAATAAATAATCATAAAAACGTTCGGGTTGTTCAATAGTCTCATTTGAATGTCCTCTGGACAAATAAACATGTTTCGTATACTGATTTACATCGTCCACCAATTCATTCCCAAAAACGCCAATTCTTTAAATAGTTCCGTATAAAACTATGAATAAAATTTCTGTAAAAAGTCAATCATTTAATTATCAAATCGGTAACAAATTCCATTTTATCTGATTAACAAAGCTTGCTTTATTAGAGGATTAGATAAACGTGTAATTATGGATTAAATGGAGATTTTCAAAGCTTTTGTGTAAAACAACTTTCTGATGCATAAAACATTGGTTTAATCTAGTCAATTTCTTAAATATGTATTTAAAAATAACTTTTAAAATAGATGTTAAATGTTTCCAAATCTTTAAATAATTATTCATTATGTTTTACTGAAAACATAGTTACTAAAATTTAATTGCCATACTAAAACATCTAATGTTGATGTCATATTTTAGTATCTTCGTTAATAAATTAGAACTGTATTTAATCTGTCAGTGACTCTGATATAGTGCTGGTTTTTTACTAAAATCAGGATTATCTATATATCTCAAAATCTTTAGTCAAACCCCCCTACAGTAGTAATTTAACTTTGTTGTATTTGTTGTCGGTGTGACTCACGAAGGACAGTTTTCATGAGGTTTAGCTGGTCTGCATGATAAGGCGTCTACATTTTCTTACTGTTTACCGGACTTATGGATGCATTTGTAGTCATGTTCTTGTAAGCACTTTTACTATCGAGCAATCTTTCCTTCGTACTCTCTAAAGTTATGTAATCATATCAAAGCTGTATGATCGGTTCTAATAACAAACTGACGTCCTAGTAAGTAATGTCGAAAGTAGCGCACAAATTAAACGACTGTTAACATCAATTTACGTATTGTACAATTATTTTATTCTGACTTATGTGACATTCTACTTCCGTATGCAATAATCTTTTCTTTTCCGTCTGAAGAAACGTCTTATAACACAGAACCGGTAACTTAGTTACTTGCATAGGTGTCTAAGATGAAACGTCCAGTAGTGGAAAAATATTCTGAATATGATAAATTGGTGTCAATTATAATAACTCTTTTAACTGGTCGAAAGATTGTTGTTACCTACCAGTCCGTTCGAAGTTAAAAATCACGGAAAATATTTGGGTAAACCTGTAGTAAGTTGATAAACCTAGGAAGTTGTGAAGTTCATCAGTTGTTTCGAATAAGATCGATGTTTTTTTGCTATTTGAAAGTAGTCCTTGATCATCAACTACATAACCTAGGAATTTAACTTGCTTCCTCAACAGGCAGCAGTTCGATGGTTGTACTTTGAAATAAAATTTCTGAAAGCGTTCTATTTATTTATTCATTTATTTTAACACATGGATATTGGTAAAAGAAGGCACCAAATACATATGCGCCAAACAAACCTCATTCGTTATGTGTGACGGCTGTGATACTGACCGGGTGCCCAAACCGAAGCAGGTGGTTTTCTTAGGGAGCCACACCCCGAGACTTTGACCTGAAGGTCTGATCCATAAGGCAGTGGAGCATCGTAAGGAGATGCAGTCCCATGGAAGCCGGTAACCAACAATTGGTTCATACGCCATTTGTTCCCTCAGAATACTGGAGCCCATGTGCATCATTGGTTTAGGGCCCGGTTAAAACGCCTGACATTCACTTTTCGTCCTCTCATTTTCGTAAACAACACCCCCGCCACGAGAAGGCAGTGAATAGGACTTCCCTGTCAGAGGCTATATACGCGTGGCCACGCGAGAGCATTTCGAGAGGGTGAGCGGACTCTCCCCACTCTCGGCCATACCAAGGCATTTTGGGGCAAAGCGTTCTAAAACTATTTGCAAATTTTCTAAATGTTCTTGAGTAGTTGCTCCGTGTACTATAATGTCATCCACCAAACAAGCATGTGGCACCAACTCAGACACTATTGTACGCATTAATCTCAGAAAAGTAGAAAGCATATTAGTTTAATCAAACAGCATGGCTTAAAATTCATGTAGACCCTGACGCAAACTAATGCCAGATTAATCAACGCATATATTCATATTATGCAAGTTATAGAGTTAAAATTCATTTCTAAGTCAATTCCGATATTTTCAATGTTGAAAAAATTGTGTTCTACATCGTTCAAGTTTATTCTAACTATAAACTAATTGTCTATTACCACCAACATCATGCAATTATGAAATAAACCATAATATCAAAGAACACAATAAGAAATGATATCCTTGAAAACCATAACTTCCGGTCAGCCAAACAGAATCTGTCATACTTGCTATTTTCAAAGACGAAAAGTAGTGTTAAATTTAAAACGACTTAGTTATTTTCTTTACTGCTAATGGCAAACTTTAGGGGTATGATCATAAAGTGATTTTTTAGGTGCTATCGAGATATATACTCAGTACGAGGACAGTTTTCCTATACTTCAGTCATGCGACGACTATGACTGATTACAATACGAATGTTAAATGATT